ACTGTGGCGGCTGTCAAAAAATAAAGAATATGCAAGTGTCTGAAAAGAAAACGCCATGTTATTCAGAAAATAGTAAGGTAGAGAGTTAGTTCATATAATTTAATAACCAATGTCATACCATAACACCTAATTTTATAAATCAGAGTTTATGATGGCTGGAGGTACCTTCATTTCTTCAAAAGGCATATATGATAAAGTTCGAATTCAGGAGTCAGCAAGGGATAGCCCACGGGCCAAGTCCAGACTGCCACCTCAAGTTTTACGGAAATACAATGTAGGGCAATGTTCTGCTCTGGCACCCTGGTGACCTAACCACAGCGGACCTAACTTTGGCAGAATGCTGAGTGATCTCCCTGATCATGGCACACGGGAGGATTCGGAGGAGCTGTTACAGGGCCGTTTCCCTCCCACCGCCCTATGTCCAGAGAGGCTGTCATGAGATCGTTCACATAGCCTCCCAGGTTCTGATGAGGCTGAAGGCCTTCTGCCCCCCACCCTCACCCCACTGTGGTATAGCTACAGGGCCATGAGGCTGGCTCAGTAACAAGGCGCCCTAGTTCTATGCTGCATGGTGATCTGGCCCCTTTGTTTTGGCGTCCTCTTGTGGGACACGGGGCATGGGTAGCTAACACCTTTCCTGCTCTTATATTTGTTGTCTATAAAAGTCATAGAGGTCTGCACCTAAAAGTGCATTGTTCCTTTGCCTGATGAATCTGTTACCCTTGCCAAGGCATAGCCACACCCATTCATTATGGGTCTGTGGCTGCTCCCATGTTCTAAGGCTGGAATGAGTAGCTGCGACAGAGACCGTGTAGCCTGGGAGGCCTAAAACGTCTTCCATCTGGTTCTTTACAGAGGCAGTTGGCTGACCCACTAATCTAATTCCTGCACAATCCTCAAGCTGACTTTAAAGTCTGAATCAAAAGCCTTCCCATCACTACTTGCCTTTCCTGAGGCTGCGGGGCGTTAACCAGGTGGACCAATTGGGAGGCTACCCTATTTCCTGGGGAAGGGTGCTAGGCCAGACCCTGTGGTCACTCTTTCCTTCCGGGAGGAGCGAGATGGGGAATCTTCCAGCTGTTGCCAGAGTCTATTTTCCTTCAAGGGGCAGGTGAGGACTTCACATTCATACTTACATCAGGCAGGAATTAAGGTAGTACAAGTCTTCGCTGCTCTAGCCTTCGCATCCCTGCAGAGACCTTTCCCCACTTTAAAGGTCTCATGCTGCTTTCGGGGAGTCCTGACCCTGTGCCAGGTGCAGATGATGTGGCCCATGGGATGGCACCCGCTTACCTACCTTCCACGGTCACACACAGTACCCACATCTGGGCCTGTCAAGACGCCCACGTACCTCAAAATTCAGTAAGTGGCAATTCACTTTATGAAACAAATACATATATATGGTAAGTAAGTCCTGGAGTACAAAAGGAGATACAAGAAAAGGAAAAGTTTCTCTTGCATTTTACACCCCCAGAGGTAACCATCCATTCTCATGAGTTGGATTTACCATTCACATACTTTTCCCATGCTATTCATGAAAGAGTTATGCCAAAGAAATGCTAAAATTAAAACAAAATCTTTTCAGCCATTTTCTGAGGTCAAACGTGATTAAAATGTATTTTTTAAATATTGTTCTTCCCAAATCACTTTGCGAGGGAAACGGCTACGTCTAGTTAAAAACACAGTGCTGTCTGTCACAAGTTAAGATGTGTGCAGAGTGTGAGACACACACACACAAGCACTTTTTTCAGCCTCCCCTGAGGCTCCAGGATCATCTCCAGAAGCGCAGAATAACCAAGAAGGTATGAAACCTCCTTCTGGGGTGTTGGGTGTAGCCTGGGAGCAAGCATAATAAAGAGGAAATAATGGGAAGAGGCCATGGCTAGTCATCAGGGGACACAACCGACTTCTGCCTGTCCTCGGGCTCACCAGCTCCGGCTCTCAGAGACGCACGTGGTCAAGGTCACGGCGCAGCTCATCCCTGCTGACATCTGACCACTGAGCTGATGTCCTCACTGTCCCAGGGGCGGCACAGTGAACCAAAGACAAAGCCTGGGCCTTGGGGTCAGAGCTTCAGCCCTGAACCTGGGTTTCATATTGCACGAGGTATGTGACCTTGGGCAGGATCCAAACATCTGAGCCCCCATCTCCTCATCTTAAAATGACCTTGACTTGACCCTCAGGATGTAGTGGTGACAGGAAATCATGGTAAGAACTAGCACAGAGCCCAACCTGTAAAAGAAACTCATGGGACTCTATCGACTGGTATCATTTATAAACATCTTAATAGACATCAAACTGTGCATGGCCGTTGAAAAATGGATACTAAAAAAAATTTTTTTAAATGTGAATATGATTGGGAAGGAGACAGGTACTTTAGTTAAGCTCAGTTTCTCTTGTTAAACATTACAAAACTCATTTATAAAATCGATTTTTCTTTTTTCTTTTAAGATTTTACTTATTTATTTGACAGAGAGAGACACAGTGAGAGAGGGAACACAAGCAGGGGGAGTGGGAGAGGGAGAAGCAGGCTCCCCACTGAGCAGGGAGCCCGATGCGGGGCTCGATCCCAGGACCTTGGGATCATGACCTGAGCCAAAAGGCAGACGCTTAACGACTGAGCCACCCAGGCGCCCTTAAAATCGATTTTTCTAATAGGGAATGAAATTACTTATATTCTACTATGGAAAGTATATTTAACAAAGAAATTACTGCTCAGTTGTTAATTGTTACCCTGTTCCTTTGAAATTGCTTTTGTCAAAAAAAAATCTTTCCCCACAATACATCAAAAAAAATCTGGTCATATAGATACTAGTTTCTGAAAAATGGATCCTTTTGTCTAGTTAGTGTTAATGAGGGAGGTTTTCTTGTCTTTCTATAGGAAGGGGATGGCAAAGAAACATAATGGAAAGAATTCACAGAAATGCTTGGGTTTAAGTCTTCAGATTTTCTTTTCTCAAATGGAATACTTGAAAGTCAAACTCAATCTAACCCTTTCTGAGTGTGGGGATGCAGAAGACCACAGTCTCTCAGTTTACAATAAAGTTCTAATCTCTCAAGGCTCTTCTCCGAGCGGCTGGACAAGTAAACAGCAGGGAGATTCAGCTCCCTGGATATAACCGTATAATCTTCGCCTCCCAGGAGCGTGATGAAAACAGACAAGTGGCCTCATTCTCCTTGCAGGAAAAAGGGGGAACTGGGAATGCCCCCCGGGCTGCCGTGCCTGGTGGCGGCCGGCGCCTGTGACGTCTTGGTTGGGCTCCACATGCAGCCGTGCAGGAGATTAGGTGGGCGCCATGACACCTCGCTTCCCCGACCTGATGCAGGTGTTAGCTTTTCCGGTCACAGTCACAGGACCTGGGCTATTGGAACCCTGACTCAACGTACCATGGAAAGTATCATGGAAAGGATAAACTGCCTCCTGCTTTGCAAGCCACGAACTCTCATTCTGGCCCCAGAAACACCCCACATACAGCACAGGCCTATGTCTTCCTGCGTGTTATCCTGTGTCACGCCCCCCAAAATCCATTACAACTCAGAGCTCGCTGGGCTGTGGTTGGAAGATCGGGGCCCTTCCAGGGGCATTCCAGCTTGTGACACGTTTGTTGGCAAGACCCCGAGTCTCCCTGTCACCTACTAACCATCAGAAACTGGGCAGAATCATTCCTGCACTAGGTCAGTCTTGGAGGGAACACAAATCAGAACAAATTTCAAGCAGCCATCGGTTACCTTTAGGAAAAATGTGTTATATAAAAGATAGTTGCTGATAAATACCACTCTTTGTTGTTATTGCTCACCATAGCATCGTTAGGGAGAAAGTCCCTTACATTATTGCTCAACACCCTAATACCAAAGGAGGCACCATACGATAAACTTCATTGTCTAGAATTATCTAGAAAGGAATACTGCAATAATTTTTATTATACAAAAAAACCTTCCTTCTACAAGAGAATGCCCACTTTGCAGAGTGCTTTAAATTTTAAACTATACGCATTATCCCATTTGACTCCACAGCAATTTGCATGTAGTAGACGAAAAGTGAGGTCTAAAATACTTTGGTGACCAGGTCGAGAAATAGCACATGCAGCCTGTCATGTGACTGCCAGTCTCTGAGCCCTGAAGCTTGTGCGATGGAGCACCTTGTTCGAGAAAGAACGACCTGTGAATGGTATCTGTGAGTGATATACCCAAACAGTCCATTTCCATACCAAACCTGCTCTTATGCACCGCCTTGGAGGATGGAGTTACTGAGATCACCGATCCCTAAGAACGTCTGAGATTATGATTTCCCCAAGGGCAATCTTTTGTTGGGGGTCAGAGCACTTAGGCAACATTCTGACATTCCAGTGCTGGTCAAGTTTATAATGGGTACGGTACTTTTCAGTTTCCTGAGCACCTGGGCCTGCGTTTTCCCAAACTGAGCTGTGAAGACCACTGTGGTCCATGGTGGACACCCCATGGCCAATGAGAGTTGGGGAGGGGTGAGGGAAGATCAATGAGAGTTGGGGAGGGGTGAGGGAAGATGCCTGCAGGGCTTCCTTGTTCCTCACTCCTCCCAGGCCCACAGGGTCCTGGAGCCTCAGGAGAGAGGCAGTGTCCCAAGAGAGATGGTGCTGAGGACAGTACCGTGAGGACTGTCCCGGAGAGGGGATGCCACATCTCTCCATCTTAGGGGATTAGCTCTGGGCGGAGATGATGCACTTCACATTACTCTCTGCCTGCTCTGCACCTATATTACACATATTCCTATAAAAATAAACTGTACAGATTAATGCAGGAACACCAAATATCAGCATTATTGCTGAGTGTTATCATGCACGGAAGAGTTTAACGCTGACAACTGTTTACAGATGTCATAACATGGTTCCTCCCCTGCAGATCCTGGTGGGTTATTCCCCAACATGGGAAATGGGTTTGCATCAAAGTCTGCATCTTGGGATGCAGGGCTCACAAGAATGCTAAGGTCCTGATAATGCCATAAGCCGCCGGGGCTGCCTTACCTGCGCGTGCGGTAGAACGGGCATCTCTTCAGTGGGACCTTGGCCACGTGCTCCTGCAGGCCCACAAACAGGACACTCTGGCTGTGCAGGATCTGCAGGCTCCTGATGGGCTCCCTCCACCGCTCGGGGAAGAGCTCGATCTCTTCCAGCAAACAGCTGCCGGCAGCCGGAGCCAGGGGTGCCCGCACTTTTTTAATGGTGCCGTAATCTGTGAGGGCAACAGGGAAGAAAGAAAAGGGAAATAAGGTGAGCGGGTCTCTCCAGCCACTCCTCCCCTAAGCAGCCGTGCTTCTCCAGCCTGGCTACACACAGAATCATCTGAGGAGCTTTTAAAAAATGCTGACACCCGAATCCCACCCCAGGCCTGTTCAATGGTCAGTGCTGGAGGTGGGGCAGGTGCCAACATCTGGTATAGGGCTAGCACGTAGCTGGTGACAAGAACCTCTCAGCCACCATGTGCCTCACCCAGTTCCAAGTCCAGACACCCAGAGCTCAGTAAAGCTTCCTGAGGCTCAAAGTAGCCAGCTTGGCTCCATCCCAGGGAAAACATCAGAGGAGAGGAGTCTTCAGGAGACTCTTTTGGATTCTTAGTATCAGAAAGAGGTGCTGACCTTGCCACCCGTCCAGGGCAGACACCGTGTGATGGGCAACCGCAGATATGCAGGACAGCAAAGGATGCACCTTCTCCTTCCTGCCTCAGAAGTTCATCCTTCGCTGTCTCTCTTTCTCCTTTGTCTAGAATGCCTCCCTCCTCTTGCTCTCTAATGCGTGATCTTTGGGATGCCCTTCTCTGTCTCAAAGTCTCAAATTCTTCTCTCCTGCACGAGAGAACATCTGTTCCCAGCCTGGTCTCTTCCTTGCCCTGGGTTTTCTGCCCACCATGTGTTTGTGCTCACTTACTTATAAGCATGGCTATAAGCATGGCCTCGGAACCAGGCATCTCCTCGACCTGGCTGGGAGAGCACAGAGAAGAGTCCTCTCGGCCCGTGAGAGGCCCAGCATGGCCAACGCCACGTGTCAGGGACACAGACCTGAGACACACGCTAATGTCCCCGGTGCACTAGGGCGAGGCCCCTGCTACCAGCCTACAAACCCAGAGCAAGACACCAAACCCTCTAGGAGCACCTCCTAAAGCCATCATCAAGCTCCCCTAATCAACCCATCAGGATCCCGAGTTTCAAAACATTATAATTCTCATCCTGTAAATACAGAGAATAAGGCCAAGGAGTTATTCCAAAACCAGAATTAAATCAAGAACCTTTGGCTTCGAGGCTTCCTATCAATCCATAAATCTCAATAAGACTTTGGACAGGAACATGTTTCAGTTTTCCATGCCTAATGGAAGTCCTCGGAGACTCAGAATGTTTCATTTAAAGAGAAAAATACACGTGCAGACATATACGATCCTGAATGTATTTTAAAAAGTATATCTGAACCACATCTCCAGTGAATACTTAACTATGAATTGACTTCATAATAATGTATGCAGTATTAGTAAACCATTGCTTAATTTTTATCTTGAGCTACCGGGATACATGTGTTACTTCTGAGAAAGTTCAAGCATAAACAGATTTATGCTATATGCTGGGAAGATGAAAAATGTAGCACCTGTCTTTGAGGAAAGAGTGTGTCTGAGAAAGGGGGGGGGGGAGAGAGAGAGAGAGAGAGAGAGAGAGAGAGAGAGAGAGAGAGACAGCCTATACAGCAGGCAGCAGACATTCTAACAAATGAATATCTCACAGATTTAAGTGTGCAAGAAAATTTGTATGTCTTCACTACAAAAGTCAACCTAATTTGGACCTGGTGACCACAGTTCCCAGCTGGTGGGAAATTCAACTTCAGTGACTCGGGGATCTTCGTGCCCTGCAGAGAGCCAAGCGTCAACAAATATGTATAGCACCAAACCATGACAGGGACAAGATGGGAGCTTCAGGGAAGGTGACTTCAGTACGGAAGGCTCAGCCACGACACCCTGACAGGAGGTTCCCACCAGCGGATGGAAGCGCCAGCCCTCCTGTGGAGCAGTGCTGCGCACGGAGCCCCTGGCCACCCTTTGGGAAACTGTGACAACAGAAGACATAGTCTGAGCCAGAGGACAGGAGGGGGAGCCAGGGACTGCCACCATCCAGTGGGCACCAAGGCTCATATAAGGGGTTAAGTGAGAGACTGAGAGACCCTTGTGATGACACAAGGACATTCGAGAGCAATGCAGGGATGGGGGTGGGGGCAGGGCGGGGTCAGAGCAGATGGGAGTCCAGCGGGAAAATCATCATCTTTGGACACTGTCACACTATATTCATGGGAGATATGAGTTACAGAACAAAATGCTCTTCAACAGTTGAACAAAGACCTTGATGTTTAGTATTTAGATTGTTGAAGAATTGCTAGTCTGAGAAACCTACCCAAATAAATAATAGTTCAACTATTAACATGCTTACAAGCATGTCAAATTGTTGAACTGCAGGGAAAAACAAATTTTAAGAGATGTTTAATGACTTGATTTAAAAGAATAGCCATCATTGGTCAAAACGTTTCTCTTTAAGATTTTATTTTATGTATTTGAGAGAGAGAGCACATGAGTAGGGGGAGCAGCAGAGGGAGAGGGAGAAGCAGGCTCCCTGCTGAGCAAGGGAGCCCAACACGGGGCTCAACCCCAGGACCCTGCAATCATGACCTGAGCTGAAGGCAGACGCTTAACGACTGAGCCACCCAGGCGCCCCTGGCCAAACATTTCAAGCATATTTCTGCACACCATGTATCACTTTCCAGCAGACGGGATTGAACACAACTGCAGGGCTGAGCATTTCAGACAACGGAACTCAGCATGGATTCGTGTGCTTGTCCACCTTCTGTGCCTCTGCTGGGACTCCTTCACTCTCGTAGTGTCTGGTCATGAGAGGAGGGTCTCGAAGCTCCCCCTGCCTTTGGCACCAGGACCAGCCCATGTGGACCTGAAGTGGCCTCTGTTTTGGTGAAGCTTTTCCTTCCCCAGCCCGTGCCTAGTTCTCATTCCGAGCTCACACCCTGCTGCCTTGGTGTAGAACACCTTCCTCACCTGGATGCCTCCAGAAGACTCGCTCTACTTCTGTGTCTGAAGTGAGTGTCAGGACCCACACGTGACCACGCCACAGACCTTCTACATGAGATGCCACCGCGGTCCCAAGTCACCCGAGGGCTCCCTCCCACCTCCACCTCTCCGCGCGCCGGTCACAGGGGCACCTGCAGCTCCGAGAGCCCGGGAGGGCCCCAGCCCTGCACATATAGGCTCTCTGCCTGAAGGGGCCACCCCCCCACCTTCCTCTGACTGCGGCCCTTGTGTCCTTGTTCCGACAGCTGGGGGGTCTTCTCTATGCCCCTCTGCACACCCCCAGGCGGACACCTCCTCCTGGGGCGCCTGTGACGCCCAGGTCAGGGCGTCCTTCACCCTTCGTCTTCCACTCCCACTCTCTGCCCTCTCCTGGGAGCACAATTAGGTCTTGTTCTTTCCATCTCCAGGGCTACTTACTTTTCATTTAAAAAAAAAAATTTTTTTTTAAAGATTTTATTTATGAGAGAGAGAGAGGGAGCACGCGAGAGCATAAGCGGGGGAGGGGCAGGCGGAGGGAGAGAAGCTGACTCTCTGCAGAGCAGGGAGCCCAACATAGGACTCCATCCCAGGACCCTGGGATCATAACCTGAGCCGAATCCAGATGCTTAACCAACTGAGTCACCCAGGCTTCGTTTCATTTTTTAAGGGAATGACTGAGTATCATAGTTGTGTTCCAAAACTTTTTCTATTGAGGCATGGAACACTGTGTAAGTTTAAGGCCCACCCACCGCATGCTGATCTGATGCATTTATCCACTGCAACGATTACCACTGTAGCACAGCATCAGCTGACACTTCTATCCTGCCACATAATTTTGCTACAAACAGATACATTTTGAACTATGAAATAACCCTGAAATTCCAAGGAAACTATTTCACCTTGGAATACATTAAAACAAAGAAAAAGAAAGCCTGAGTAATCCTGCATTTCAGAAAAGAGATGGGACAGGTTGAAGGAGCAACATTTCTAAATCCCACAACATTAACATGACACCGCTATTTTAAGCAGTTTAAGCAGGGACTCTAGAATCCCCACCAACCACCACTGGCCTTGTAGGTGGCCAATTGACCTTGTATGCTCCCTCCTGTTACAGTGGAATATTCTCTCCTAGTTACTCGACATATGGTGCAAACACTTGCCCTGGAACAAGAATCTGGCAAAGGCATTCGCCTCTTTCTGTGGCAGAAAGGGAGAGCCTGGCCCATAAAAGAGACGAGTGGGCAAACATTGATTTTGTTCAAAAAACAGTAGGACCCTGGTCAGTCCCAGAGAGCGCTTAATTTTTTGTTGTTGTTTCTGCTTTATAACATTTATCAGAGTTTAATTACTCATTTACTTGTTTTGTGGCTTCTGTGCTTGACCTGAAGCACCACGGGGGGCACACACTATATCAGTCCTGCGCTCTGATATATGCAGAGTGGTCACTGCTATGGGCCTGTGGAGATCAATAAACACACGCTGGGTGAGAGACTCACCGACAAGTGGGGACGAAAGGGAGAAAGAAGGAATGGGAACAGGAACATCATTATCATCTGTGAACTTCCTAGGAAAAGTCCCGGTTAATATTTTTCCCATCGTGGTCTTCAACGAGAGTTATGTGATCAGTTAGTGTGAGGGTAAAACAAGAAACACTATTTCCCCATTATGCAGAGATGTCAGCGAAAAGTGTCATAAGCGAAACAGGAACAGAGAAAATCATTTTAATTGGTTTCATCTGATAAAATATTAACTCTGAAAATTTGCCATTGAAAATAAAACCATATATACCTCCCATACACTGGAAATTCAATACTCTACTCAAAGTGAGTTGCAGGGGGAAAAAAAAACAGAACAAAAAACATATGCCAGTGTCAAAAGTTCAGAAATAACAGAAGTAAAACCAATGACTCATCGAAGTAGCAATTAGTAAACGTTTTCTGTGCACACACCTAAAGGACGGTGTGAAACCAAAAGCACTTGGACCACTACACGGAAGGAGGCTCAGGGGTGTATTCTTATACAGCAGCTTACGTCGTGGGAAGCCAGGGACGTTATTCTTCATGGTGATTGGTTATAATATTAGAATTTTCTCAAATAATAGGCAATTGGTTAGTGGTTACCTCATGACAACCTTGGGACAC